GGGCCACGTATACGGACATGTGGCGGGCGAGGTGGCGGGTCTGACACAGGCCCGTAACAGAGGGTGTTTCTTGATCATGAGGAAAAAAATTGAGTCTTGCATAGAAGTAACCGATGAAAATGACTCCAAAATTGAGTTGTAGAATCTGGGGTCTGTAGGGGTGCTTTTGCTAGTGGTAACAAGTGAATTAAATATGGTTTTGGCATCTGAGAGCATTGGGGAGTCAAAAACTATAGGTGGGGGTGGCTGTATTTGTGGTTGAAACATTGTTTTTTACGGGGTTTTCTTGGGAGAGTTTTGATAAGGTTTCAAAGGAACAATTGACTGATGGGGAGAAGAAATAACGTTGTTTTTGAGAAGAGTGTTTACTGAGGATCCCCCCCCCCCCCAAGATAATGGAGTTTTGCTACACAAACATAATGTTTGATATAGGGGATGACACTATACACATGTGGAGGTCGGCATTATTTAATTCAAGTCGGGACCCACATGCAATGTGGAGGTCGGACAACCTTTATGTCAAACATTATGTTCATTTAGCTTTATTCAAGATAATGATGAATAAGAAATGGAGTTAATGAATTTGCAAAGGAGTTCGTGTGAAACCCGGAAGTGTACGGTATCGTTGACAAGTAATATATTTAATAAGTTGAGAGTATCATTCTACATTGAATAAATTCAATTCAAGTTTACTAGTTTCGTATGGAATTCGAACTATATAACACAAAATAGTTTTTTATTTGGTTTTATACTAAATTAATATAAGAAAGCAATAATTTTTTTTTTTTATCAATTTTTGGATGATTGTATTAGAGTTGGAATCCACGTATCTCTATTTCAATTCTTGATTTGTAATCTAGTTCCGTTTATGCGTCTTATCAATCAATAAAGTTATGATAAACACTTTTTTTCTCGAAGACAGTTTAAATTTATCCTAACCTTAGAATGCATTAAATTTATATTATTTGTATGATTGCACATGTGATAAATGTTTTCCAAACATCTATTGCACACATATTAATTTTGCCATGTTCTCAACTTATTGCAAGTCTCTCAACACTAAAACAAGTAACTAATTATCTAATTGGTGGCCAAATATTAAATAATGCAAGGAGTATACAAAAAAGCAAGAAATAAATTAAATTACTATTTTTGAATTAGAAATAAATAACAAATAGGGTTCATTTTCAACCAATACAAAAAAGAATCTAGCCCAACATGTTTTTAAATAAATTATAAGAAAAATAATAGAAAAATATCACTCGAATCATGAAATAATTCAAAAGATGTCGATCTTCAAGTCTAAAATTGAATTATTCAAAATCTTGATATAATTGATTTTCAATTCCTTGCTAGGGCTTGATATCCTCTTTCAAAATATAGCAATTGACCCCTTTTGTTGATGAATTTGATGATGCTATTGTGTATGAAGAGGCAAAATAGAGTTTGTCCATGTGTAACCCTTATTTTCTATTTATAAGAGTTAGAAAATAGGTCAAATCGCGTCCAATTTGAGTCCCAAAAGTTTGAATCGCTAAAGAAAACTGTTGATTCATCCGCAAAAATAGACCGTGGCGCATCGGCATAACTATTGCACATGCGTCGTTGAGCCAATTAGCTCTTGGGTTGGATAAACAATGTCTCGCTTACGCGCCAATTTGAGTGGTGTCGTCCCTAAGCACCTTTTGATATTTTAGTTATCTCTATCTCTATATCCCATTAAGATGAGTTAAAGTGCATTGAAAATATAATTCAAGGGGCTACAATTCTTTTAAGAATATTCCAATTCAAATGTTTGCTAACCGAAAATGGGTGTAGGCTAAAAATTCGGAGTATAACTTGTTTGACTGGAAATCGACTTGTGAAAATACTTCAACTATATTTCACTCGTTTGACCTATAATTGCACCCAATTGATTATATTCTCTAATAATCATTTTATGGTCTGAATTAACTATTGAAAGCCTGTTTGGTATGAATTTTGATT